GGGGGGGGGGGGGGGGGGGGGGGTACCGTTTATATGTGCTTAACCTGAAGCCATAAGTATGTTCTTCTATGAATGACATTATGAAGAAAACCTGGGCACTCAAATATGCAGCCCTACATTCTTTCGAAAATCCAGAACTTCATATTTTAGATTCACTTGCCCCCTTTCCACATTTTATCGTTAGGTTCGTGACTCTTTCTGCCCTACGGAGTACATTTTATTTGTTGCTCCCTGGGTAGCCCAAGATTCCGTTTTAACCTTGGGAAATTGTGTATTTGGGATGTCGAGGCTAAGTTCGCCAAAATTCCCCCGGGACAACGGATGGAATTTCTAAGTACCTATCTCATGCGCTATTTCAACCACTTCCATCGCAAGGAAAGGACTCAAGTAGCTCCATTGGAACAAACATCGCAAAAAGAGGATCAATTTCGTAGATGTACAAAAGCACCGTGCTTGGTCCTCCCCATACTCACATACATTCCGCACACCTAATTAAACACGAAACACTTCAGAAAGTCTCAGGCAAGAAACAAAATTCAAGACAGAAAGAAAGGACTACTACATAGCATCGAAATCTCTCCATAAACAATCAAGCTATTCGGCTCGTATCCATCGAAGGGACTACGAGTACTGTTCTCACAGACTAAAGCCCAATTGTCAATAGCTTTGAGCTCTCTTGAGACGCTACGACCGTCTGGGTTTCACGTGGCATCTTCATCAATAGAGATCTTACGCTTCCGTGATTCCAACTTAGGAGAAACAGGCAAATAGACCACGTTTTTAGTGATCTGCTGTGTCGTTTCGGGCCTGGTACCATCGACGGCTGTTAAGGAAGCTTGGCTTCCACAAGAATAACGGATTTGCGCTGCCGGGCCCCAATTTTAGAGACTTGTATAGAACCTGATAAAGATTAGCAAGGCATTTCGAAAAAAGGGCGTCATTTAAGATCTACCTGCCGAGTTTGGTCGAGGCGTTGGGTTTTATTCGACATATGGCGGCGAGTTAAGCGCTGAGTGCCAAACCCCCTTATCTCGTCTCCCTGGTTTCCAGGTAGCCATCCATCACGACCAGAGAAGAAAAGGTCACTTTCTATGAACTGGCTAGGTGGATTTCCGAATTTTCTCTGCGGAGACGAAAAAGGAAGCCTATCTGAGCCGACTCTCCTAGTTGACCTGAAGGACAACTAGTCTTCTGGGCACGATGATTTGGGTACACTAGGGGAAATTACTGACTAGTTCAAAAAGTGCATGTTCCGCAATGAACTTCAGCAACCCTGCCGACAAAGCATTATCAGCGTCGGTCAATTCATTATCGTCCACAAGCTGAACAACAAGACCGTCCGGGAAGTTCCGTTGGGTAAAACTATACCTACAGCACGAATGCTGTAGATATCGAAGGTCGCATATATGGTCACCTGAGCAAATATAAACGGATTGCCCGGTGCATTCGCTGGGGCGATGATTTCGTCGATTTACGATATGAGTGCAATGGCGACCTCGAATCCACTTGGGGAAAGCCTCTTTGGCGAGCTATTCTAAATACGGTATCGCTCGGCAAGCCATCGAGGCAGTGGTCTTTATCCACGGAAGGGATTTTATTCATTCCGATCTCAGCACTCGTCAGTTTCTGGTGGACAAAAGTTGCAATATCAGATTATCTGACTTCGGCGGCTCGTCATTGCAAGGCTCAGAGGCTATTGTAATGGAGAATTCTACGCACTTCCTACCTCGAGATGAAGATGCTCCAAATACTTTCCAGAGCGACTTATTCGCTCTGGGGTCCACTGTCTACGAGATTCTATCAGCGAAGAACCTTACGAGGGAATGGAAGATGAAGAAATCCAGCGTCTTTTTTCTGACAAAGTGTTTCCAAAGCTCGACGGAATAAGAGACCGGCAGTGGACGCATGTTATTCAAAAATGCTGGACGTGCCAGTACAGCCGTGCTTCAGATGTTCTCGAAGACATTCCATCTGTCCCATGCTTCAGACGCATCCTCGCGAGAATCCAGTCAGTCCACCTTTCGCAATGGTAAGTCGCGGCCATCGGCGTTGTAGACGAAGTAGTGTATGTCGATTCATTTGAGGCTTGATATTGAAGCTTAGAGACTCGTTGTGGATGGCAGCATTGCTAGTGGAGTAAATTTTGAATAATCGTCACTGCTCGGAGGAGTGCTGCTAACATTCCACTGGAATTCACCGTCGCTGCTTTTGGTGTCGGCTATAAACATATTAGTTTAGTCGTTGACACAACGCTAGGTGAAATGAGCGAAGACTATATTGTACTTACTGCTGGTCGCCGCCACATACCCTGCAATCTCGGGTCTTTCGCCCTTTTTTTTTAGCAGAATATGGATCGGGCCTAAGTGGCCTTGGTTTGACACATTCCATTTGAAGGTGTAAACGGTAGCGGCATGAATGGTTTCACCCTTGCTAGGCGGGTGATCGGATGAAATTTAGAGTTGAGAGAGAATCCTGCGTCAAATAAGCCGAGGGCGACAGCATTGCCCTCATTACAGAAACCAACTTGAATGGACTCTGGATATAGCAATGGATGACTAGAGAATTGTTCTTGTCGCTGACTGGTCACTATGTACGCTGACACTCACAGGTCCCACATGGCCACATCGACTGGACAAAGCGATCACATCTTGCTCCGTGTACTGCAACGTCATGTCTTCGCATACCGATACTTCCGGTCGGATAAGGACCAGACAGCGGGCCAAAAGAGCATGCGAAATGTGCAAGCTGCGAAAGCGGAAATGCGACGGTCATGAGCCATGCACTTGCTGTATACGATATGAGTATCACTGCGCGTTCAAGCCTTCTCCACGAGAGAAAAAGACCATCTCTAAGTCCTCGACAGCGCTGGGAGATGAACCAGATGCACAAAGACTCTCCGATCGAGCGGGCGCTAACCAAGCGCACATGGAAGCCAATTCAGGCACTGCTTTCCCTCATCTCCTGGGAATGATATTGAATCCCCAAAGCGCACCCAATGTGCATGGCTTTAGCTGGAATTTGGGTCCACGAGATGAGCCTCTTGAGCTCTCCACCAATATGACGGGGCTGATTTCAAAAGAGGAGATGGAAGAACTGGCCAGCCATTATTTAAAGAAGATACACCCTGTGTATGGGGTCCTGGACCCTGAAGATTTACAGCAAAAGATTGACACCAGATGGAATGATTCTACGACCGTGGCTTCTTATGACTCTATTCTCTGCGGTGTGGCGGCATTAGGCTCCTTGTACTCGGGCCACAAACAACATCCAAAGGAAAGCGCACTGGTGCAGTGTGCGAAGGAAAAACTCGAAACAACCAGAACTTCAAAGACAACTCTCCTTCATTATGCGAGTACTTGGATATTACGGACCATTTGTCTCCGGAGCACTAATTGCCCTCATGCGTCGTGGATGGCCAGTTGTTCCACGATGCACATCATCGAGGCCATCGGAGCTCATCAAGAGCCCGAACTGGCATCTTTAGTGTGTTCCGACACTGCAGATGTCAGTTTTAATGAAGAAACCCGGCGTTGGCTCTTCTGGGTAGCCACGGTTTTAAATTCGTGGATTTCCTACGAGTACGGCCGATCGCGCGTGACCCCACGAGGTGTCTCATGCAAGCTCCCCTTGCCTCGGAAGGACGACTTCACCACGGACCTCATAAGCTGTATCAAATCTCCGAATGGCTCGATCCAGACCGTGACAATAAAGCTTTTGCCTTCGAAGAGCCTCTGTCCCGCGTTGAGGGCCTTACACTCTCCCATGATGCTTTGATCCTCTCCCAAAGTAATTTGGCGCTCACGATATATCGTCGATACGAGTTTTGTCGGTGAATATATCGAATGATGTTCTGGCTCGCATCATGCGACTGGGGAACCACGGTCTTGATGCTGCAATGCGACTAGCCGAAGGTCACTGTCCATGGTGGCATGTTGCCAACCTACCATTTCAGTTTATCTGTGTCTTGCTGGCCATTGACACAAGAGAGTCGCTGTCACACATTGGTCCCGCGCTACGTTCGTTCAGATCCGTCACCAGGCTTTACAATACGCCTAGTATCCACACGGCGCTGGAGACAATAGAATCGCTGGTTTGTCACTTCCAAACTAAAAAGCAACGGGACTCGGTCATTCTCAGAGACAGTCCTGCAACAAAGGGATGGAAGACTGACTGAACGAAGCTCAACCACTCCCCAAGCCTTGGACGCTGCTGCCTGGCTGGGAGCGACCGAAAACCTGTCTCTACCTGGTAACTTTGACTTTGACTGGAATGGATTTCTAGACGTACAACTTCCTGTCTTTAGCTAATGCAACGTTTGGTGCCCAGCGATAGATAAAATATAAAATCATGATGACCTGAGTCCGTAATTGAAGGATTTCCGCGTTGGGTTTATATAGTCTCATTCTCTAACGATAAAACTAGAAACTAGCATAACCTGTGCTCTTTTCATTGTATAAATTTGGACGGGTAAATTGGGATCGGGTAAGTCGGGTAAAGCGGGAAGTAGAACTAGAAGAGGAAGAAGGATATATAAAGTCTTCACTACGAAGAAAAGCAATAAACGAAGTCAATAGCGAAAATCAAAAGGATTTCCTCAAGCTACTACTTCCTCTTTGAATTATTTTCACCCCCCTTGCATACGCCCTAGAGTACCCCGCGACCATGCAGTCTTTTCGACAATACCGACGCATGCGCAAGGACTTGCAAGAAAGCATTCAATCGCACGGCCTATACGCCGCTACGGGTGATGCTCATGCACATGCACAAACCGACAAACAATATCCTAGAGGATGTTGATGTTGCCAGACTGGAGAAGGGTATTCGCTCGATGAATGCTACACCGAAAATCGTGCTACCTGACGGCAAGAGAGTGACAGTCCCCGGCGTTAAACCCCACGATGTATCCGAAACTTCTGAACGTATCGACCCAGAAACACTGTTTATTGTCGGCTTCGATGGTCCCGACGACCAACTCAATCCCAAAAACTGGTCCACGGGACGGAAATGGCGGACATTGGGCATTGTTGGCACTACGAGGATGCTGGTCGGATGGGCTTCATCGATTGACTCGGCTGTGATCAAACAAGGACAACAGGAATATGGAGTCAGCGAGGTCGTCGAATCTCTAGCAACAGCGCTTTTCCTGATTGCTTTTGGCATCGGCTCTCTTGTGGCTGCACCTCTTTCTGAGACTGTTGGACGAAACCCAGTTTACATCATTACATTGCTTATTCTAATGATTTTTACAATGGGATCAGGACTCGCGCCAAATCTCGGAGCCCAACTTGCCTTTCGTTTCCTGGCCGGACTGTTTGGCTGTACACCAATGACCACCTTTGGCGGCAGTATGTCCGATATCTTTGACCCCATCGAGCGCACATATGCCTTTCCAATTTGCTCACTGTCATTCCTCGGACCTTTCCTTGCCCCGATGGTTGGAGCCTTTGTTGGACAAAGCACGCACATCAGCTGGTGCTGGACTGAATGGTGCATGATGATCATGGCTGCGCTAGTCACATCTGCCATGTTCTTTTTTGTTCTAGAAACTTATGGACCAGTGCTCTTGGGGTGGAGAGCAAAAAGCCTGCGTGAAATCACAGGCGATCAGCCTTTCGTGGCCGAGTTCAACTACGACAGACATCGCTCTTCACTCGGCTGATGCACAGCTGCTCCCGCCCTTTCGACTTGTTATTCAGAGAGATCATGGTGGCGCTGTTTACCATTTATCTCGTCGTCTTCTATACTGTTCTTTTTGGATTTTTGACGGGCTATGAGTTCATCTTTGGTGACACATATGGTTTCAATCAGGGGTCCGTGGGATTGACGTTCATTGGACTGAATGTAGGTTTCCTATTTGCATTTGCCCTGGTGCCACATATCTACTTCGCATACAAGAAGAGATTATCGAAAGCCGTTGCAAACAGGGAAAAAAGCCTTCCACCCGAGGAGAGGCTTTGGTTCGCTATGTACGGCGCTCCTTGGTTGCCAATCTCTCTTTTCTGGATGGGCTGGATCAGCCATCCCTCGGTCTCTTACTGGTCGCCTTTGATAGCTTCGGTGGCTTTCGGATTCTCCTTTCAGGGAATATTTATCTCCACATACCAGTATCTCATCGACACGTATGAGCTTTTTGCGGCCAGTGCGCTGGTGAGCGCCACTTTCTTCCGCTATATCGCTGCTGGTGCCATGGTCGTCGTGTCAATTCTAATGTACAGCAATTTGGGTGTCCATTGGTCTCACGTTGTTAAGATGTATTTCTGCCTTGATGACACCGGTTCCATTTGTTTTTTCTATAAATATGGGCATTTAATTCGACAGCGAAATAGGAAGAGGGTTTGAGAATAATGGTCTTGGTGGAATCAACCTATTTATCTATAGCAATATCGTTGTTTCAGAGTGCCTTAAGCCGCTTCGACCAAGCCACGAAATAACCTGTCGCCGACAAAACACCAACAGCCCCAACAAGCAACGAAAAATTGCTTAAGAAGATATCCTCCTGAGCATGACTCACTTTTGTAGCAGCCTTGTTCATGACACGGTCTTTACCGGTTCCCTCGGCAACATAGTCCTGCCACTGCACCCTCGAGAGTTCGCGTTGATAATCAATCACAGTCCCAGACCAATTATTGGTGATGACCCCGTCGTCTCTCTTATACCAGCTGTTGCAATTTGGATCTGCAAAGCTGGTACGCCGTAGAATAGCTTGGATCCTGTCATTGTAGCTTTTCAACGCACCCGGCTCTGGCTTGAGAGCCAGCGTCTTTCCTTGTTGGCGGGCTCGCATCACTTCCCCAACTAGGATGTTCATATATCGTGACTGTGCTTCGATCATGAGGATGATGGAGTTGTGCCCTTTTGATTAGTTAGAATGATTGAAACCTTGATGTTATTGGAAATTGGACATCTCTCACCGAGATTCGTGTTGGGACCATAGAACATTCCAAAGTTCGGCAAGTCCTCAACTGTAACACCGTTCAATGCCGTCGCTCCATTTCTCCAGATATCCTCCAAGGACCGCCCATTTGCGCCATAAATACGGATAGGATGCATGAATTCTACAGTCTTAAAGCCAGTCGCAAGAACGACAAGGTCGTGTTCTTGTTCTTCTTCGTCGACCTTGATACCGGAGTCCGTAATACATGTGATGCCCCGTGTCTCTAAGTGAACATTTTCACGGGCAAGAGTGGGATAATAATCATCTGTGATAATAATTCGCTTGCATCCCGGCGCATAACTGGGTGTCAGCTTATCCCATAGATCTGGTCGGTCAGGCAGTTGAGATTTAATCGCATTTGTACATGTGGTGCGAACCACTTGGGAAAGCTGCGAGTCTCCATCCGCGACAGCAGCATAAAAGCCTTCACGGAATCTCATTTGAAGCGCCCGCTTGCGCCAGTGGAGGGGCGGGACCCATTTGAACAGGGCTTGTTGAAGGGTAGATACTGGTTGATCCAGGCGAGGAAGGACCCAGTTTGGCGTCCGCTGATAGATAGTGAGATGGGAAGCAACTTGAGCAACTTCAGGGGCAATCTGGGCAGCCGTTGCCCCTGCAAATGGGTCAGTATGGTAGCTTGTAGATAGATTATCTTTTCTCTGGAGTGCGCACCGTTGCCAATGATTGCAATCCGCTTTCCTGTCATATCATAACTCCAATCCCACCGAGCAGAGTGCATCATCTTCCCTTGAAAATTCCTTAGACCTGGGATGTCAGGGGTTCGGGGTAAATTGAGTTGCCCGACAGCAGAGACAAGGAAATCTGAATTCAAAACGTAGGATCTAGAGAATTCGCTGTCTTTCTGCCCTGATATCACGACGCTTGTCCTCCATTTGGACGTGATATCATCCCATCGGGCCTCCTCTACTGTGGAGTTGAAACGAATGTGCTTGTAGAGTCCATATTTCTCTGCAACGCCAACGAGATACGCCTGGTCGATGCGCAATAATCAGCAATGGCTCGTATACAGCAAGACAGATATTCTAAGGTTACTAACATGTATTTCTTCTTGCCCCGGATATTCTCTTGACCAATTAGGGTTCTGTTCAAAGGAATAGCTATAGAGCGAACTCCAGACTAGAATTCATCAGTTGCTGTCATTGCGTATGTCGAGTATTTCTTACCGTCACAACAGCAGCCAGGATACTTGTTGTCATTCCAAGTTCCACCCACACTGCTACTTCTCTCGAGGATAACAAAATTATGAGTCTTATTTCGTTTGATCAGATCGATCGCCATGCACAAACCTTAAGGAAATGTCAGTGAGATTTATTTGCCTTGGGGGACTCCACATACCCGATATGCCAGCACCAATAATGACAACAGTCGCATTGGTAAAGTCTTTGTTCCCAACAGGGAGACGTGTGTTACTAGATGCCGACATCCTTAGGTGAGGTGACCATGCATTATTCGAGAGGCAAGTAAACCATGACCGGCAGCGCAGCGCAGAATATAACCAAGAGCTTCCCCGCAGGCTTTCCAAACCATAGCACTGACCATTCGATAATCGGGGATTACCGAGGTCAATTATCCTTTGCCTATGCATGTCTTACGCAACGTGTCTCAAAGCATGCATGAGCTTGCAAAAAAATAACCCGGGCTTACTCTCTGTCTTGATCTTTTTGGCAACAATTAAAAGAAGACTATTTGTCAAATTTGGAATGTATTGATCTGCTCACTAAAAGCTTTTCTTTTGGAATAACAAAATCGTACAAGTTTGGAAGTTTGGAAGTTTGGTAATGCGGGGAAGCCGAACGGGCCGAGGCATCCAGCTCTGTAAGCCTAATCGAGGTTTCTGGGCTCTAGATGCTCTAGAATAATCAAGGGAGTTCAATCCCTTCTCTCTCTGCCGTCTGTAAGATGTATTGCTTGACCTGAATAAACACAATGAGAATTAGCCATTCTGATCTCAATTGATACCTAATTCTGGCGAGGGGCTTACCTTATCATCTGGGACTAGCTCAATCGCCAGTCTACCTTCACTGTCTCTCTTTTCTGCTTCTGCTCCAGACTTCAACAATAAGATTGCGGCAGGTCCATGTCCCTCGGAGATAGCGTGGTGAAGTGCCGTGAATCCGTCCCCATCCGTTGCGTTGACAGGGCTCTTGCCCTCTTCCAAGAGGGTCTTCAAGATAGGCACAGATCCCACTGCGGCTGCTCTGTGAAGGGGAAGTTGACCACGTCTATCCTTGACTCTGGCACTACATTTATTGGCAAGCAAGGTGCGGACAGTGGAAATATTGGCCTTGGAACTTGCGAAGTGCAGCGCATTCTATTAGATAGTAAGTCCATGTACACCCAATAGCCACATTCTTGTCTCGAAAATCTGACCTGCCCAGAGTTACTTTTGATAGAGACGTCAGCTCCTTTCCGCAGTAATAAGTCGATCGTTGCGTCGCCTGCGGCATCTTTTAGGCTAGCTGCAATCATGAGAGGCGTCCAACCGGATCCATCCTATGCTGATTTAGCGACGTTATGTGATAGTGAATAGTCGACGTTGAAAAGATACGGGGGATTCTCTTCGGAAATCGAACAGAGATACTCACTTCTACATCTGGGTCGAAATCCTTCATAGCAACTAGCAATTCCACGACCGGGACTCGGTTGTAGGCCACAGCCCAGTGGATTGGAAGACGCTCGTCATCATCTTTCACGAACGCAGATTTTGGGTTTGCCTGTTTCAATAATTAGCTTGTTCTTGGAGACAGAGCAGTACCAGCGCCAGCTTGATCTTGCGGGGCACCCTTGGCCCCAGGTGGGGCACAACTCACATTGAGCAATGACTCAACAACCTCGTCTAAGCAGGTATATTAGCATATTGTATTATACCAAGGAAGGATCAAGCTCTCACTTCTTCCTTCTCGGGCAGCCTCGTGCAGGGCGAACTTCTGATCGGAATCCATGGCGACTTTGGAGGAGGAAGAGTGATATTGCGATAAGAGCTGCGATAAGCCCTCCGGAACGGCTGAGTCAGCAATATTGCGCCCCGGGGCCCCTGGCCTGGGCGGGTGGTCCACGAGTCGCCAGCATCGTCAACCAGCTGGAAGAATTTATCTTCGGGAGACGGAGATTTACAGGTACATATGTATTTGACTCAGTACATTAACCGCATAGAATATCTGCAATTTTTCTTACATCTTGTGATTACATGTGACGTGTGATTCCATTTGTACCTTTTGTATTGGACTTGCATACACAAGGTACATCTAGCATGTCCTCAGTTTCTTGGTCACAAAATCAAATCAACTAAACTCATATGCTACCAATGTAGCTAGTAAAGATTCATAGGTATAGCTTCGATCTAATTTAAGCGTTGGTAATTATAAACACCGGATTTGCCTTCTGTGAGGGTGTCGTATACAAAAGAACAATCGTATAGTGAAGTTGGCCCCATGTATATTAGGAGCATACATATGTGCGCAGTATCAGAGGAATCGTTTCAAGAAATAAAAGCAAGAAGGCAACCTCCCCTTTGTGTAGATGCGAACAGCAAAATATCAAATGATAATACTCATGCAATACCCTGGAACATGTATCCGGAGTTCTCGGAATAGGTCAGCTAAGAAGGGAGGAAATATGTATTCAGATATCTTTTAATAAAGTCCAATATACATTGTAGGCAGAATTGAACCTGGATAACATCTCCGAATTTTACTATAGTCTACCGCCCTACCTCACCGCCATTTTTGGGCCGGTATAATGTTGGTAAATTATGGCGCCTCAGGCACGAACACCCGTTGCAACTTCGATCAAAAGATTCATGCGCGTCTTCGTTATCATCTTTAACCATACCTTGCCTCGCATCAGTTAGAGACGCAGCTTCGGTCCTCAATTAAGTGCGCTGCCAAAACTGGTGTCTAGGCTCAACCTCCGCACTCGGTTGCAGTCACGAACCTGCCGCAGGCTTTTTTTTTCGCGCGTACCATCAGATCGTGATTCCTTGGAGCTCCTGTCCTCCGAAGCACACCGATTTATCTCGTTTTGCCCACATCAGTACCCTGCACAATCACAATGGATTACCCCTCACACCAGTCCGCAGATGACGCCGTGCGCATGTCCGCAAAGCGGACCGCCGACCTCTTCGGTGACGAATACCTGATGGTCACACCTTCAACTCTTACAGACAGCTCAATCGGCGTTTCGTACCGACGGAAGGCGGAGTATGAAGATATTACCGAGCTCCCCCGAGCTCTCGCAGAGAAACAGGCGAAGGCTACAGCCGGCCGAACAAAACGGCCGAAGATTCAGGTGCAGGCACCCGCAGACGGCAGTGGCTCATCCATGTCACTTGTGAGGCGGCCATCGGGCACGGGAACGGGAGCAGCACCAGCTGGGGACCAGCCCA